TCTTTGTTTTTTATGTGAGTGCCTGCCTCTTGCTGTGAACTGGCCCCTGAGGACTGCCTTAGCTGCATCCCAGAAGTTTTGATATGTTGTATTTTCATTATTTGTTTTGAGAACATTTTTTTATTTCATTCTTTATTTCTTCTATAACCCAATCATGCTCTAGTAGGGTGTCATTTAGCTTCCATGTTTTATAAGCTTTATCCTGTTGTCATAAATGTCTAGTTTTATAGCATTGTGATCTAAGAAGATACTTTGCATAATTTCAGTGTTTTTGAAAACATTGAAAATGCCCTAAAATGTGATCAATTCTGGAAAAATATGCCATGTGTTCTCGAGAAGAAAGTAAATTGAGTTTTAGTTTGGTGCAGTACTCAAAATATATCCTCAAGGTCAAGTTGGATGAATGCATAATTTAGACCCTCTGCATTTTTGTTAAGTTTCTTTTGAGTTGACAGAGTGAGAGAGAGCCTTCCCATAAAGTCAGCACTTTTAATTTACACTTTAAGATTTCCCTTTGTTAAATCTATCTGCTTATAATATCAGTTAGGCAGGACTAGAAAATTTAGTAAATAGTATCTTGTAGTTGATATGCCTCTTGTTTAGAGTCAACAGACCTCCTGGAGGGCCTTATATTTAAAAGTTGGGCCTGAGAGATTATATTTTAATCCCTTATTACTATATCTTGGAGGAACATTCTTAGGAGTCATACAGCACTTTGGTCAGTTTGCTGGGATGAGGTAATCTGGGTTTGCTGTGACACTGAATCTTGTGCCATTTGGGTCTCAAGTGCCATAATGGAATGACTATGCCATAGGTGTGCCAGACACCATAATGGCTACTCATCGTGGGCAGTGTTTGGTGGAGTTCCCAGACTGATTTAAGTTTGGAAGCTGGAGTGGCATCCACTTCCTAACCCACATGCCTCTGGAAACTCTATAAACATAGAGAAATGATGTTAGTTGTAGAACAGGTTTCAGGTCTTTTGTTCATGGGTTCTTTAATGAGTTGTATTCAACTTGACAACACTTTGCCATTGTTAAGTGAGACTTGTGTTGTTAATATCGTGTAGGAACATTCTTCTAAATTGTACATCACTCTTTGTTAATTTGCTGTACTGAGGTAATCTGGGTTTGCTACAATGCTGAACTTTGTGCCATTGGGGTGTTAAATGCCATAAGGGTTGCCCAAGGTGGACAGTGATGGAGCTCCCAGTTTAAGACAGGTTTGGAAGCAGGAATGGCATCCACTTCATGCCTATGGAAACTCTATGGACTTGGAGAAACAATGATAGTAATAGAAAGGCATCAGGTCTTTTGTTCATAGAGTCATTATGAGTCATGTTTGACTCGACAGCAATCAACAACATCTTTTGGTAAGAGTGGTGTGTTAAAGTCTCCCACCACTATTGTGGTGCTATTTCTTTTTTTTAATTCTGTTAGTAGTTGTTTTAGGTATTTAGCAGATCTATCATTTGGTGCATAAATTCTGACCAATGTTATGTCTTCTTGATCTACTGTACCTTTAATCATTGTATAGTGCCCTTCCTTATGTTTTATGGTGGTTTTTATTCTGAAGCATATTTCATTTGATTTGTATTGCTACTCCAACTTGTTTGTGGATGCCATTTGCTTGGTATATTTTTTCCCAGCCTTTGATTTTGTGTCTTTCTTTTTCTCTTCATTTTTATATGTACAGCATATGGATGGACTTTGGTTTTTTGTTCATTCTGCTACTTTTTTCCTCTTGATTGGTGCATTTAGTCCATTCACATTAAGTGTGACTATGACAGGTCAGGTTTTATCATTGCCATTTTGCTGTATTTCTTCTTTTGTTTTTTCTTTTTATTATAGTTCATCCAGTTATTTTTGGCTTCTCTGTGTGAAGGACTTCCCTTAAAAGTTCTTGTAGATTTGGTCTTGTTTTCACACATTTCTTAAGTTACTTCTTTTTCACAAAGAATGTGAATTCTCCTTCATATTTGATTGAGAGCTTTTCTGGGTACAGGATCCTTGGTTGGTAATTGTTTTCTTTCCATTTTCTGTGTATGCCATCCCATTGTCTTCTTGATTGCATGGTTTCTACTGAAAATCAGAATTTAATCTAATTGCCTTTCCTATGTGGGTGATTGTCGGGACATGGGTTAATTTCCGAGTTCTTTATTCTCTCCATTGGTCTATGTGTCTTATCATTGTACCAGTACCATGCTGTTTGGTTGTTATGGCTGTGTAGTAGGTTTTTTAGATCAAGAAGTTAAAAAAATTAGTATATATTTAGAGGAATGAAGAACCCAAAATTGTTACATACATGCAAAACTTAGTATGTTTATCTATCTATCTATGATTTGTTATAAGCACCACCAAAAAGAACCACTTATATGTTCATATTTTTGCATTCTTCTCAAATTATGTGCCTCTTTACATTTATAAAGATTTAAAATGAAAGTTAACATCCTTGCCAAATACACTAAAAATCCTTTTCCATAAGTAATCACTAGATTTTTACTAATAAAAATAATGGAATATGGTTATTTTGAATAAAAATTTCCAATTATGTTTTTCTAATTCTTCTTTTACCCCCTAGTTATATTGATTTTGAATCCTAGAAAGTAACAGGGAACTCAAATGGGATGTTTGAAAATAATTAGAGATTTTGTCCATCAACGGACTGAGACTATTCTGTGATAAGGAGGCACAGGGAAGTTATTTTGAGTGACTGGGAGATTTGGTATTTTGTGAGTCTTCACATTCTTGCATTGTTTAACTTCTGAACAGTTCCCAAATTTTACACAGAGAGTTGAGTCTTAAAGGGATGAAATAATAATATAATTTAGCAAGACAAAAAATATTAAGTCATCTCTGCACTATTAACAGTATAGTCAGAAATTCTTGATTTGAACTTCTTGTTTTCCTTAACATAGTCCTTGTATTTAATATCATTATCTCCACCATTCTGGAATAAAGCAGCAGCATCTCAATTATTAAAATTTAGTTATCAGTACATGCATGATTTCAAGTTATTGTCGATAAGTTTTGCTGTTAAATCCCATGGTGTGCTGTGGTTTTCACTAGAGACAGAAGGACTCACTTTCTTTTGTACCTCCGAGTATACGAATCAGTAAAAAATGTCATAAGTTTTGCTGAGGGCCCAAAACTCAATTTTTGGTGGAAACTACAACTCTGGTGCCCTTTTGGTAAGGAGCTTCCCTGCCAACTTATAGTCACATGGTTTGAATCTATCAGCTGTTCCCAGGAAGAAAGATGGGCAGTCTCCTCCCACACATTTTATTACCTCTTAAAACCTGTTGGAGGACCAACTCAGTAGTACACAACAACATATCATTGGAAATTCTTTGGTTCCAAGTAATATAGTTTTAATTTGGTCTTTGTTAGTAAAGATTTTTTTTTTGAAAGGACATCAGATTCAATAAAAGGGATATGGAGATGGATTGTGTATTCAGACTAACTGATTTTATAATCTACTAGTTATTTGATAAAAAAAATGAGAGAGTCTGCTTCCATAAAGATTTACAGTCCCGAAAACCCTATGCAATAGTTATACTCTTGCCTCTAGAATTGCCATGAGTCAGAATAGACTTGATGGTAAATGTTGTGTTGTTATGTAACATCGAGTTGGAACTGATCCATAGCTCACTCTCCATTGGATTTTCCAAAGCAATTAATTACACAGGAAGAGATTGCCCATCTTTCTCTCATGGAGCAGCTGGTGGATTCAAACTGCTTTCCTTTGGATTGGCAATACAACTCCTTACCACTACACCAGCAGAGCTCCTTGATAGTAATAAATATCTTTATTTTACTTGTTGAAGAAAAACCCATCAGGAAGCAGAATGACCAACATATCTCTGGAAATCTCAGAAGCATAGAAGCATGAGCAGTCTTGTTAGGAGGAAGAAGTAGAATGATTGTCTTTGTGAGTCATGCGATTTTCTGGTGGTGAGAAGTTTGACATCACAGTTCAGAGATCCACTGGGCCACATAAAGTGAAGATGAATGAGTTTCCCCCAAGCAAGAGTGATGTGTAGTTACTGAGGGAAAGGTAAAAATATGCTATGCAGGTAAAAATAACTGATGTCCATACCAACACAAATATTTAATATTTTTAGAAAACCATAGCTAGGAACAACAACATCAACATCAAGTAGACAAAGATTCTCACCACTGGCCAGTTGACAACATCATGATAGATAGTGAAGATACTGAGATTGTTAACTGCTTCAGTTTGCTTAGCTCTACAATCAACACTCATGGTTGGTACCAGCAGCCAGGAAATCAAAAGACAAATTGCACTAGGAAAGTCTGCTGTCTGGGACATCTCCAGAGTACTCAAGAGCAATGATGTCAGTCTGAAGATTAAGGTGCACCTGATTCAGGCCATGGTCTTCACAATTACTTGCTATACATTAGAAAACTGGACAATGACTAGGGATGATAGAAGGAGAATTGATGCTTTTGAGCTGTGGTGCTGGGGAAGAGTATTGAATATACCACAGACCTCTAGAGCACAAGCAGGTCCAACCGGGCTGTTCCTTGGAGGAAAGGATTCTGAAGCTTCCTCTGACATACATATTTCAAGGAGGAACCAGTCCTTGGAGAGGGACGACATGCTTGGGAGGGTGGAGGGACAGATCAAGAGAGGAAGACTGTTGATGAGATAGATTGACTTAGTGACTAGGGTAATAGGGAGTAGGTGTGTCAGAGATGATAAGGTGGCTCAGGATAGAGAAGGGTTCAGAGCTTTTATACATAGGATCACTATGACTCACAAGCGACTTGATGGCACATAACAATATCAACATACCTTGGAAAAAGTTGTCTAAGTATGCTTTTCTCTTCTTACCCATATATTAGAATGATGATAGTGGTATAATGGATAATCAGGAAATTCTCCTTAATTCACAGTTACCAGATACCTTGTAGCAAAATAGTTTCGCTTCTCCATGAATATATTTTTTCTGGTTTTTATATTAAAAAGTTGACATATTTTCTCAATATTCTTCTCATAGCTGCTCTCACTTCCTTGTTTTGGAGACTGTAAATGAGAGGATTCAACATGGGAGTGACTACACTGTATTGTAAGGGGAAGATCATCTCCATGGAGGAACCTGAGTTTGGTAAGAGATAGCTAAGGAAACCTGAACTGTAGAACAAGATCACAATAGTGAGGTGAGAAGAACAAGTGGAGAAAGCTTTGCTTCTGCCAGAGGTAGAGCTGATGCTCATAATGGTGGAGACAATACGGATGTAAGAAAAGAAGATAAAAACAAAAGTTCCAAAGAAATGCAGGACAGAGGAGCACAGTAGGAGTGCAAAGTTGTTGGAAGTATCAGAGCAAGAGAGAGGGAAGAGAGAAGATAGTTCACAGCTGAAGTGGGGGATAGTTTTATCCTTACAGAAGTCTAAATTAACAGCCAGGAGGATGTTGATGAGAGCATCAACAAAGGCCAGGCCCCAGGAACCCCAGACCAGCCTGATACATAGCTGGTTGCTCATTACCTGGCTATATAGCAGAGGGGACCTGATGGCAACATAGCGGTCACAGGCCATCACTGCCAACAGACAGGCCTCAGTGCCCCCTGTGGCAAACACAAAGAAGGACTGTGCCAGGCATTCCTCGACGAAGATGGTTTTACTTCTAGAGAGTAGATTCTCCAGCATCTTGGGTACTGTGACAGAGGAGTGGCAGAGGTCCAGGAAGGATAGTTGTCCCAAAAAGAAGTACATGGGGGTGTGTAGGTTGGAATCAGCCCTGATCATTAGCAACATCACCATGTTTCCAATTAAGGTCAGGAGATAAATCACCAGGAACAACACAAAGAGAAGAGCCTGTATCTGGGGGTTGGAAGACAGTCCAAGGAGGATGAACTCACTGAACATGCTATGATTTCCCATTGTATTGAAAAGCAGCTTTATCCTGAAAATCCAAGAAAGAAGAAATATCAAAATCTTCCTCATATCTCCCAGCTTACCTGACTGCCTCTTTCCCAGGGATGTTATTTTATGACTCTGCTGATGGCCATGGTTATATATTTATTTCTGCACTGACTTTATAATTACCATAATAAATTTGATGAACTTGGATGACATAACACAACTCCGCCATTAGCTCCTTATGTAATTTTGTTAATAATTTTCCTATGCCTTTAAGAATTTCTGTGTTTTATTTTTTTTAATATTAATTCAAGAACAGTTCATGTGCTCAACTGGAATAGAGAATTATTAATGAAGTAAAGAAAGGAGCCAATAGCAAAAATTAAATCCTTGACAGATGGGTAACAAATGGCATCCAGAACACAAGCAGAGTATTTCCTTTGATAAGAGGAAGGACCATTTATCTATTGTGAGTAGAGGAGAAAGTAGAGAGAATGGGATGAAACAGACTCACAGATTTTGAGGCTGACATCTGAGAAGCATTCTAAGCGATAACTGCAAAGCTTTGATGAAATGTGGAGTGAGATAATGGACAGTGGCTATGTCTCGTCTTTCCATATACAGCTCTATTTCTATCTCTCTGTGTAAGGTTTCTGGGTAGCACAAGGGATATGTGATCTGTTACTAACTGAGAAAGGCTGACTGTTTGAACCTGCTCAGTGGTTTTGTGGCAGAAAGTTCTGGCACTGCAAGGATTACAACCAAAAATTCTGATGGAACAGTTCTACTCCGCTTGATAGCAGCAGAAACATCTTTTATGTATATGGTGTGAATGTTCAGTGAAATTATAATGAGAGGATTTGCGGACACAGGGAGACAAAATTCATTACAACATGTGGAAGATTAATTTACTGAAGAAATGCAGTAGAATTAATTGTTCGCTCATTTGAGATTTTAAGACTACTCCAAACAAACAGATGATTATCTTTAATAATGTTTAACTGCTTCTTTTTAGAGAAGATATTTGGTTTTAACTAGGTTAGGCTATTGTCAAGTGTATGACCTGACAAACAAAATAGAGATGCAAGTAGAATATGCATACAGAGCAAAAAAAAAAAAGTCTGTGAAAGTAATTAAATTGAGGATAAAATAGAGAATAAGTGGTGAGGCCATTAATTTGAATTTGCTTCTGCAGAAACAGTAGGTTAACTACATAATAAATCTAAAAGATAGTGATTTGATAGTGGAGTACTCAAAATCCAAATATTGTAAGTTGTGCTCACTTCGGCAGCACATATACTAAAATGGAAACGATACAGAGAAGATTAGCATGGCCCCTGCTCAAGGATGACACACAAATTCATGAAGCATTCCATATTTTTAAAACAAATAGGTCTGTCTTGGAGAGAGTGAAACCAAGTCTCTCCTTGGATTTTGAAGTTCTGCTTTACTTGTTTTGGGCATGTGGCCAGGAAGAGATTGGTCCTTGGACAAGGACATCATGCTCAGAAGGGTGGACAGACAGCATAAGTGAGGGAGACCCCGGATGCGATGGATTGATACAGTAACTGAGGTAATGGGGGCAGTTGGTGTGTCGAAATTAGTGAGATTTGCTCAAGACAGGGAAGGGTTCAGAGCTGTTGAACATAGTGTCATTATATATCGCCAGTGACTCAATGGCACGTAACAACAATAACATACTAAGGTTTGGAAGCAGGAGTGGCATCCACTTCCTAAACAACATGTCTGTCTCTGGAAACTCTATGAACATTGATAAATGTAGATAACTGTAGAGGGGCTTCAGGCCTTTTGTTCATATGGTCATTATGTGTCATGCTCAACTCGAAGGCAATCAACAATAAAAATTCTTAGTAGTGAGGATGGCAAAGGGAAGAGTTATACTGTAGGAGTAGAAGGGTATATATGGTGAGGAGGAATACTCACATTGATACTGTGGAAGACAAATGACCTAGGGTTTTGAGCTAAGGTGATGAGAAAATTTTCCGTATTTTTAAAATTTTTATTTCATTTCCTTAAATGAAGATTTATTAGTTTTAAACTTTGAAGAAAGTGATAACTCTAGTATAAAAAAATGCCTACCTGCATTTAGTCACAGAAACAGTTTCAGGATAATGTCTTTAACAGGATAATATCTGAACCCATAATCCATGCCTATCTTAAACCACCATTAAAAGTTCTATAATCATACTCTCTCTCTGTCAGTGTTTCAGCCAGCTTTGGAAGTTCACATGCCAACTCAATCTAGATTCTCACTCAAAAACTCACCATTGTTTTCCTACTTTGTTCTGAAACCATTGTTTGTAGCCTCAGGGCTACACTAATGTATATATTTCATAAATGGTTTAAGTATCCAACCACTTCACCCATTAGCCTCCAAACTGGAGACGAGGGCCCGGCCTTAAACACAAAGGCCCAGTATAGTCCATTCTTGTCTTTCCTATTGACACAAAAAAGTATGTTCAGTTGATTAAAATAAATTATAATTTTTCTTCTATTAATTATTAACTAAGATAAATTTAGTTACCTCTCTACATAACTGATAGTATCAGGTTGTGCAACAATACTTTTAGATCCAGTGACAAATTATTCATATCCAGGGTAAATTATTCGGCTTATGCAATTAGTGTATTGAAATACCTGTATTTGAGGAGAATTGAGAAGAGATCTCTTGAAAATTAATAATACAGTAAATTATGTGCTATCAACAAGAAATAAATGATTATATATTTTCCTTTAAATGTTTTAATGTATTTAAAATATATGCTATATTTCTATTTATTTATGAAAAAGATAATATATATTTGTTATATATTGATAATTATATAATAGATACTAATTATATATTTCTATAGAATAGAATATATTGAATATGTTAATACATATTTTTATTTATTTATGAAAATAATAACAAAAATTTCCCATTTAATTCTTTTATATAGATCAAGCTATTGTGTCCATTTGGGTTTCTGGCACTCAGATCACTACATTATCATCAGAAATATGAAGACAGCGGTAGGTATGGATAAAATACTATATCAGGTAGAAGATCCCTGTTGCCCAAGGGTGGAAATTGGGCTGTGGAGCTTCCACTGTATGATGTCAGGACAGCACAAAGAAAAGTCTCTTTGCTACCACCCATCTCCACATACAGTTGTATATTAACTCCAAAAGTTTCTCTGACCTGTGATTATAATTATATCCTTGCAACAAAGTGAAGGATAAGTTTGATTAGTATATCTGTTCACATAAAATACAGTGCTAGGAAAAGTTGATGGCCAGTGACTTGATGTCCCTAGAAGTGGCAAATTGGATTTATTTTTAAAGTATTTGTATTGTTCTAGAAGGATTCCATCAGTGTAAATAAGTTAAATAAATAAAACATCTTTCTTTTTTTTTTTTTACACAGAGGCTGACGCCTAAAGTATCACTATTAGTGATTCTTCTGTTTTTAAACATAAAATGTCACCACTTATGATAAGGCAATAGATTTGTTACCAGATAGTTAAATCATTAGATGGAGAAGTTTAATTGAACCTAGTTGAAAGGAGTAACAGCGAATGTATGTTCCTGGCAGAATGAATATGACTTTGTTTCATAATGTTGATCAGGAAGTATTATCAGAGAACATGAATAAGTGTATGAATGCGTAGGGATTGAAAGTAGAAAGTGGCACAGAGCTTTCTTATTTTGGTGAGATAAGCCTGATCGTGAAGGAGTTTAAGGTCCTAGTTTTACTAAGAAGCATGTGGTATGAAGAAAAATAAATACTAAAGCCAGAAATACAAGGGTACTGGCGATGAACATCACCTATTACATTTTTCCCAGATTTTACTCTGATCTTGCCCCAGAGCTATCTGAAGATGAGTTTTATTTCAGAGAAAGCTTCTCTTTGAAGTTCATATGGTATGATTGAGAAGGGGAGGTAGTAGGTCTTTTAAGAGTGGGAAGGAAATATGCCTCTAATATTCTCAGATTACCATATTACTTGGCCAATTTAAGAGAAAATACAGACTTTCCCCTAGGAGTTTAATAAGTGCATCAGAATATTGACAATATTATACAATTTTGAAACACATACATTTGTGATATATTCAAATTATGCCACTTATTAGCTATTTGACTTTAGTAGGATTATTTACTTAAAAAATTCCCATTCATTAACTTGAATAAATAATAAATATTGCAAAAGTTTTTTTTAAAAGTTGGATTATATAGTTTATATACCTGGAAACAATATTTCTGATTTTAATTGCCAAGGCTTCTCAAGGTGAGAAGGAAGGGAGTTTTGGAGGGGACAAACAGAGCAAATTAGAGAAGAGATAATGTGAAGAAAATCTGTATCAAAGATTGAGGAATAAATTAGAGGGTTCAGAAGGAAATAAAATCTTTAGGAAGCCAAGAAGAAGGGAAGAGAGTGAATAGGAGGAGGGAGCAATTCAAATTGCATGGTAGGAAGGGACACAATCATTAGCGAATTTGGACAGGCATTATTAAGTTTTTGGCTTCTTTATGAAGATAGTATCCCAAACCTTTAGGTAGTTAGGTGAATACATCAGGAATCAGGTGATTGTCAGTAAAAGAAGATGTACCACAACTTTCCAAATTTGGAAATAGACATAGTTTTCTGTCTGGAAGGCTGAGTGAGAGAGGATAAATAAGAATAGATTAGCTCAGGTTTTAAAAATTAATCATTTGGGAAAAAAGTCTTCCGCTATCTTGATCGTGCTCTTACCCCAGCATACCTTTGAAGGAAAGATATTGAAATTTCAAATCTGGACATGTCACTTTGAAGAAGTTTCTTTCATGCTATCTCAAGCTTGTTCTGCATCTACAGGTGGACACACAATGACTGGTTCTCATAAATTCCTCTGTGACTCTAAATATTTTAATTACTACATTGTCTGAACAAAGGACTCTGGTGTCTAGCCAATCAAAAGTGCTGTTGATTTTGACTGAACTAAAGAGCCCAGGGACCTAGATCAATACCCCATATTCCCTGG